GTGGGAGGCCCAAAGAGAGCCAGAAGTGGCACCCTGGGGACCAGCCAAGCCCCAAGGAAATGGCACAGAAGGAAGCTGAGAGCCAGCAAAGCAGCTTAGAGTTTCCCTGAACATGAGGTTGGCTACATTTTGGAACTTGAGAGAGTTTCCTGTCTGCCTTTCCAAGCTTCGCTTTTGGGAGCCCACGCCTCTCTTTGAAAGGGTTTGGTGTCTGTGAACTTAGACATCTTTCAGTAATGATTTAAGTGACTCGGCAAATTGGGGGCCCTGGAGGGAGTGAGAAAGGAAGAGACTAAAGGAAAGCAGCGTTGAGCTGTTTGATCTTCAAGACAGCAGGCAATAATGCAAGAATGTAGGAGCTGGAATAGAGGGTGGTTGGATTCCAAGTGGCGGTCTCCTCCCTGAGCGGTGTCTGCTGTTCGGACTTGCAGGCTTCAAACATGACTGGGGGATTCCTGGAAGACAAAAGAATTCAGGGCTGGGGCTTGGATCTCAGTCAAAAATAACTCATGTCTTCATCTCAGGCAGGCAAACGGCAGGAACTGTTTGCAGGTTTCTCAGAAGATGGGGGCTCCGCATGGTGGGAGGGGACCGTGAGGGTCAGTTTGGATCTGCTTTAGGGAGAGAAAAGGGACTTGAGGGGTGCATGCCTGGCCGAGGGAGACGTCCAAATGGGAAACTGTTGCTGGAGAAGAGGCCCGAGCCCCAGAAGTTCTGGAGAAAAGCACCCCTGTTCACCAGTCCCCCCTCCCCGCTCTGCACTGCCATTTGCTTTGGGCAGTAATTACAGCCTTTAATGTTCCTTCCCCGGCTTCTCATTAGCTCATGTTGTCCACCAACTCCTTGGCTCCCCTCACCTGGCTTCCCCCTCCCAGTGGCTCCCTCTGGCTGCCCACCCCCCACCTGCTGGCAACACCTTGTTCTAACCCTCAGGTTCAGATCCTTAAAACTACACTCTTCCCTCTCCCTGGTGGGTGCGCCTTAGAGACCCTGCCCCCAAACAGCTCTCTTCTTCCCTCCCTCCTTTTCTCACCAGGCTGTAATCAGAGGATTATTTGGTTTTCCTCCCAGGAGGCCAGGGCCCCGGTCTTAACTCCCTTTGTATTCTCAGCACCTCGGCCAGGGTCTGGTTAATAATGGCCACTTGCAATGTTAGTTGAATTGCTGCCAACTTAATCTCCCTAAAATGTGGCTCCAGCTAGAAGCTATCACTGCTTCTCCCTCACCCACCGAGCAAGGTCCTAGCTCCTCAGCCTGGCACTCAAGGACTTCTGCGACATGGTTCTCCCCCCCTGGCCACCCCTACTTTGTGCTCAACCGCTGAGTTGTTCTTAACACAGTCTGCGGTTTTCCTATCTCTGTTCCTTTGGTGCGGTCATACCCTTCCACCCCCACCCCAAAGCTGCCCCATCTTTCAAGGCTCATCTCTGAACTGAGTTTGACTCTTCAGAACTCAGACTGCTCTCTGCCAGGTTCGTATCCTGTTCTGCATCGACTGAGAGTGTCTTGTTAGGAACTTGAAGAGAGGTCCTGGGTGTGGAGTGCTTACAAAATGAAGAGCAGGGTATCAATCAATGCCAAGCAGCCCTTGTTTGCTGTTATTTCTCACCAGACCTAGGGTTCTCTGAGGGCAGGGCCCGTGTACAATTACCCCAAGGCATCTCCAAGTGCCTGGCCCATGGCAGCCATTCAGTGAAAGTGAGTAGGCACCGATACCCATTCCTTCCTCTGTCCCCAGGGTGGCGCAGAATGTGCTGGTCCCCAGGTTATCTTAGTCTGGAGTGGCACAGAAGCTATCAGACAGCCTGGCCACTCCCCTCCCTCAGAGGGGCCCCAGGCCCCATGTCCCGCTGCGCGGCTCGCTGGGGAGTGGGCTGTACCTAGCTGCGGATTCCCCTGGGGCTCAGGGGTGAAATGGACTGGCTGGCTGGCAAGGCTGAGGCAACACTGAAGGCAAAAGGTGAGAGTATGGCCTCAGGTTCACAGAAGAGATTGGATGTTACACCTCGCCTCCAAGGCCAGATGGCCATTCTCCTTCCAGCCAGGGCCAGGGAAAGGGAAGCAGTCTCCTGAAGGGAAGAGTCTGGGTAGTGGTTGGCAATTCTCTCCTAGGATACTTCTGGTGTGGGTGAGATGTTCCTTGGGCAGACAGAGGAACAAGACACCCTTCTGGATACTTCTCAGATCCCCCCTCTCCCCTAACTGCTGCTGTGCTCGTGATCTCTTCCTTGGACGGCATCTCCACCTTCCAGTGCTTAAGCCAACCTCCTCCTGTCTATCTTCCATATTCCAGCCAGAAGGATCTTTTAAAATAGGATTCTTGCGCTCACAATCCTTCAATGGCTCCCCTTTGGCCTTAGGTAGAGTCCAAGCCTCTTTCTCATGAAACTCACAGCCCTTTACACCATCCCTTCGCGGCCGGCCTCTTCACATGAAATATCCCGATCTCATGTGCCGCCACACCAGGTTGTGTGCAGTTTCGCTGCCAAGCCAGACCCCCTCGTGTGCCCGGCCTTTGCCCACGGTGTTTCCTCTGCCTGGAATGCCTTCCCTTTGGGTTTCTGTTTGCCTGGTTCTGGAGACATATCCTTTGGGAAGTCTTCTTGGGCCTTCAAGGACCCCATCCTTTGAGTTTCTATACCCCCTGGAGGTCTCTGGCTGTCCCCACCAACCAAACGGTTTCTGGAGGGCAGGGTCCGGAACCTATTTATCTCTGTATTCCCAAAGCCCTGTCACTGGCACTCAGGAAGAGCTTCGTAAATGTTCAGAGAATGGAACTGAGCCTGCCAAGGTCCCTTCTATTTTTTTTTTAATTTTTTTTTAATGGTTTATTTATTTCTGAGAGAGAGAGAGAGAGAGTGTGTGAGCAGGGGAGGGTCAGAGACAGAGGGAGACACAGAATCAGAAGCAGGCTCCAGGCTCTGAGCTGGCTGTCAGCACAGAGCCTGCACGGGGCTCGAACCCACAAACTGTGAGATCATGACCTGAGCCGAAGTCGGACGCTTAGCCGACTGAGCCACCCAGGCGCCCCGCCAAGGTCCCTTCTAGAGGCGATGACAGAGTCCAGCAGGTGGATAAGAGGTGCAAAGAAACCAAAGGGCAGCTGGGGCCAGAACACCGTGCAGCCTGCTGGGCATCTCAGCAGAGTGGCTGCTGCCCCTCTGAGCCCTGCTTCCCCTCACCGCGCCCCCAGGCTTGTTGACCCACTGGTCCAGTCCCAGGCACCTAAGTGGAACCAGCACCCATAGTGGTCATGCAGATGATATGGGGAGGGTGGGGAGGAGGCAGTGACACCACCTCAGGGCCTCATGCTTCCTTTTGTCCTTCTGGGCTCCTTTCCACAAAGGAGTTAGGCCTCTCTTCTGTCCCCCCGAAGGCTGTTTTCAAAATCACACCCAGGCAGACAGTTTTATTTACAAGGAAATCTTGGCAGGATCTTGACTTGTTAGTAGAGTAGGGGTGGGGGAGGGTGGTGAGAAACAAAAATAGTTGAAGCCATCACACTTTCTGAAACTGAGATGAAAATTGGTGTCTGTTGCAAACTCACCTAATTAGAACAGAGTTAATTTCCTCCTCCGTGTTTAAGGGGAGCAGCCAGTGTCGGGTGAGAGGGTCACAGGTTAGATCCCGGGGCTGGGGTTGCGAGTCTGCTTTATGATGAGAGCATTAACTGCAACTTTCGGTGTTGGAAGAGTCTCCCTCGCTGAGAGGGAGAGAGAGGAGCAGAGACCAGTGAGTGGGTGGGTGTCGGCTGTTAGGACGACGACTGCAAGGGGACTGACTGACCAGGAGCCAGTCCCTGCGCTTCTTGGGAGAGATGGCACCTGTCCCAGCAGACCGCTGGACCCGTTTGCGGCAAAGCCTCGGTTTCTGGGGAGACAGTCTCCCGAGAGGACTTTGCTGCAGGGAAACAACACCCCTCCCTTTTTTTTTCTTTAAAAGATCCCCTATTCCTCTGATCTAACTTCATCGCTATTTGCTTTCGTTTCTTTCCCTCCCATCTCCCACTTGGGGCACTTCTCTGGGCTTGCTCCTGTCAACCTGGTCCAATGAAGCCCGGGGCACTGTCACAGAGGTCTCCCGTAGGGAGGATCTGGGGTCCCGGCAGCCCCTGTCTGACTTCTCCCATCCCAGAATCACTGGACCTATCTGGACCTCCCAGAATCTGAGGCCGAAAGGAGGGGAAGAGACACAGAAGGGTGTTCAGGATCCCGTCCTGCCAGCACCCCGCCCCCAGTTCACTCCCAGTTAACCCCGACGCTGCCAACTTAGTGAAAACCTCTCCTCTGCCTCCTTCACGCATCTGCAGCCTCCAAGTGATCGTTAACCCGGTGGGACTCGGGAAGTGGGCACTGCACCCCACCCCCGCCCCGAGACAAACCCGGGCCTCGGATGGAGGCTGGTGGTAACGGGGCCAGGGCCGGCGCGGCGCTCCCCTCCCCGCCCCCGCCCCCGCCCCCGCCCCGGGCGGTGCAGCCACTTCCCCGCCAGCCCCGCCGCAGCTCGGCCCCTTCTCCTCCCGGGGCCGCGCCGCTCTGACCGATTTGGCTCTGGTGGTGGCGCCCGGGGCGGGGGACGGCGGTCCCCGGGAGCAGCCCCGCCCCCTCCCGCGCGCCGCCCCCGAGGAGTCCGCGGGGAGGAGGAGACTCCGGCGCAGAGCTGGGGCCGCGGGAAGCGGGAAGGGAGCGCGGGGAGCCGCGGGGCCGGGGCCGGCCCAAGGGCGCCCTCGCCTCCGAGCCGGGCGTGGGGGCCGGGGCGGAGGCTGAGACCGGCGGGGCCGCGGGCACGGAGAAGTTTGGCGGCGAGGGGCCGGGCGTCCCGGGGTGGCGAGGCGGCGGCGCGGGGGCCGGGGCCATGGGGGCGGGCGCGGGCGGCGGGGCTGGCGCGGAGGCGGCGCGGTGCGCACAGAGCCCCCGGGGCTGTGCGGCCGGCGTCGAGCAAAGTTAGCCCGGCGCCCCGGGACGAGCCCCGCAGCCGCCCGCCAGCCCTGGACCCCGCGTCGGCATGGGCGAGCATCCCAGCCCGGGCCCCGCAGTGGCCGCCTGCGCCGAGGCGGAGCGCATCGAGGAGCTGGAACCCGAGGCCGAGGAGCGGCAGCCAGCGGCGCCGGAGGACGTGAGTGCCCCCTCCCCCGCCCGGGCAAACTTTCTGGGGGCCACTGTGGGGGAGCTGCCCCCGTCTCTCCCCGGCGGGGCAACTCGGAGGCTTCAAGGTGACGCGGGAGCGCCCCGGATTGGCCGGGTCCCCGCGGGCAGGAGAGGGCGGAGGGGCCGGTCTCCCCCAAACGCGCGCGCGCCACCCCCCGCTCCGGCGGTTTCCCTGCGGGACGCGGCCGGGCCGCTGCGCTGGGGACCCGTCTGCCGCCGGAGCCCCCTCCCCGCCGGCTGGTGCAGTGCCCGGGACACGGCGTTTTCCCGCAGAGGCGGCCGCGTCACAGCAGTGACTCCCCCTCCCCTCCCACTCGCGACCTGCGGGCTCTCTGAGCCCGGGGGACGAGCGGGCGCCGCAGAGTCCCTGGCACCCAGCAGCGCCGACCGGCCTGGCGACCCCCTTCTTCGCTTCCGGATTAGCTCCCTCCTTGCACCTGCCCTGTCGCGACACTGATTGAAATTCAAGCCGGCCCCAGTCCGCGAACCGGGCCGGAGGAGGGAGAGGGGGCGTACTGGGAGCCCAGGAGTCCCAGACCGAGTCGGTGCCTGCGACGGTCCCCCGGGCGAGGATGGGGGCGGGGGCTGCCCCAGAGGGCTTCCCTGCCATCTGCCGCCGGAGAGTCTCCTTCCCTCCGGTCCGGGGAGCCATCTGCGGAGCCCGCGCCGGGGAGTCCTGGGAACTGGAATTTCCTGAGCTACTCCCTCCCGAGGTTAACCTGCAGACCCCGGCGAAAACCTGGGCAGACGCTCTGCCTTGCCCTCGCCGTCTCTCAGAATGGGGAAATGGAGGTGACGCCAGGTCCCCCAACCTGCTAAACCTCAGCCGACAAGTCTGAATGAATGTGCCCCAGGGGAGCTTAACGTCTTCCCTTCCCTCTGGTTCCCGCGGTTAAACCTCTCACCTGCCTCCCGGGCCCCGGGCCCCGGGCCCCGAAGCCCTGTGCTCCCCGCCCTCAGGTATCACCAGTTAGACTCAGCCTTGAGAGAGGCTGCTTAGATTTCAGTGCTTTCCAGAGACCCCTCCTCCCAAACTGCAGGCAAGATGTTCGTAGTTATGCAGGCTGAGGTTTCCTGACTAGGGGTCTCTGGCCCCCAGCAGGGTGGGACTGATGGGATTGCACCCGGGTGTGCTTTCCCAGGTATGGGAAGAAACACGGCCACAAGCTTTAGGCGCAAGTTATTAGAGGCCCTTGGGCAGAGTTGGATGCCTTTATTTAGTCATTGTTGAGAATCACCCCTGTTCTGTTTATCCCTTCTGCCTGTCTCCAAGTGGGGGACAACTGAGTTCCCTCCCTTTGCTTAGTGCACTTGGGGAGCTGTTCCCACATTCCCCCTGGTGTCTTGTGGCGGGTCCCTGAGTCTGGACAGCAACTGGGAGGCAATGTCCGGAGTCTCAGGGGGCTAGAGAGTCCTTGGTGATAAGTGTGTGTTTCTCTTTCTCTCTCTCTTCTCTTCCTCCTCTTGTGCATGGCCTCCCTCTCTACCAGCACTGGAAAGTCCTGTTTGATCAGGTACGTGAGCATTTAAATCCCCCCACTTCCTCCCAGCGCTCCCCGCAATCGGCCTCCCTGCCTGCGTGGGCTTCCCCGGCTCTGCACTCCTGAGACGGTGACGCGGGGTGGGGGCGTGGCTTAGCGCATCTCCGAACGCGGCTCTCCACTGCTCTCCAGGTTTCAGGAGTAGGCGGTGGGCTCCCCGGAGAGATCCTTTCCTCCCTCCTCCTCCCAGCTCCGCCTCCCCAGAGCTCCGTTTAAACCACATAGAAATTGGACAATAGGTATCGAGAGCCTGGGACATTCTCTTTATGCCAGGCGATTGCAGTGGGGGGCTGGGGAGGGCTGAGGTTAACATCCCCTGCCTTTCCTACCTCCACCCTCAGAGATCCAGGTGGCTACCACTGAAGTCAGATCTCTGGCGTCCTTGGAGGGTGACTCACAGTATGGGCTCTTTTGAAAGCTGACTCTAACTTTGCGGCACACGGATGAGAGAGTTAGGGGGAAATTGCACGTGATTGTTTGCAACACCTCGCGTCTAGGTGTGGGGGATGGAGTTAGAAACGCCAGCTTTGGAATCCATGGATGGACGTTTGACCTTCAGCAAGGAAACAGTTTCTTCTTTGCTGGGTGCTCCTGTTGAAAGCGTTTGTGTGTTTCCCTCTCCCTCTCCATTCCTCGATGCAGGGGGAATAGTGAACGCTGCCATCCCGCAGTCAGCATGGTTGTGCCACGAAGTTTGTGCAACTTTAAGAGCCCTGTCTGGTCGGGCCAGAGGGCACCTGTTGGATTGGAGAAGAAGATGGAGCTTTAAAAGTAGCTTGGACCAGACATTGTCCTGTTGCATGCAGGGAAAGCGTTTGAAAGTTTTGTTGTTGTTTTCTTTTGTTTTTTAGCAGGGATCCAAGCAGTGCTCTGGAAAGGTCCTGCGTGATTGCAGGGTGGAGGCGAGGTGGGTTGCAGGCATGAGGGAAACTAGTCAGGGTGTTTGGATGACGGTGAGAACGGAAAGGAAGAGGGACATGGCAGTGGGGCGATTGGAAGACCTTATTGCCCCTGAGTCGATGAGTGAAGCACATAGATAAAACTTTGAGATTCTGAAGCTGGGAGGAAAAAGGGAAAGTCTGGGTGGGGGCGGCTGCTGGCAAAGACGACAGCTTTGGTTTCAGACAAGTTCAGTTCGGGGAACCCACTAAACGCAGGTGCCCAAGTGGGACTGAGGTACGCAGAGCGACAGCCGGGCGTCCTGGCAGGCCTGGGCCGGGGCTTGGGGGTGTCCTCCACATTAGCACGAGGCCTGGCCATGGTCTGGGGAGCGTCCACCCGGCTCCTGTCCCAGGGGGCTGGCGCATCTCTCCCTCTGCTCCCACATGCCACCCACTCTCCCTCCGGCTCCTAAGAGCACAGCAGCTGCTGGCCTGCTGCCCTGAGGCAGGAGGGGCCGCCTGCTGCCACCGATACTAAGACCAGCAAGCTGTCAGCCCTTCACACCTCCTGCCAGATTTAGAATCAGAACCTAGAACAAAGTGTTTCTTTTTCTTTTTTTCTTTTTTTTTTTTCCCCTCTGTGTCTCTTTCTCATTCGATTGGTTTTCTGTGTCTGTGTTTACATTTTAAAAGGAACTGTTTGGGTGAATGGAGGAAAACTTTTAGTAGGAAGAATTTGGAGCAGAGAGGGGAGAGGAAGTGCTGAGAGCAGAGCCAATGTGTAGCGAAATAGCGGGTGGTCTGTGAAATCCATTTCCTCCTACTGGAGGGGGGGTCCCTCGTGCCACAACCGAACATCCCCTACTTCTGGGAAAGCCCACCCAGATACCCTTCCAGACAGACAAAATTAATTCTAGGAAAGAAACTCCCAGACTTTCTCCCGGGTAAAGCATTTTTTTGGTCACAGTAATTTCTTCCCCGTCCCTCACGTGACATTAGAAGCCCATTTCTGTTGCCTTCCTTCCTGGGGGTACTTTGTGTTTAAGGAGAGCCTCTCCTGGGCAGGGGTTGACCTCTGGCAGATTTCCTCTGTGTTCCTGTCCCCCTGCTTTGTGAAGCTGCCCCTGGGGTCATTCCCCCCAAGGGGCTAACCGGAGAGTAGGTAGGAAGCTTCAGACTCGGAACTTCAGGATGCTAGGTCCTTCAGAAAGCGGAAGGGTTTTCCCCTTGCCTCTTCCTGTGGGCCTGCTAGAAGGTACGACTTGAGGGTTGGTGGACTTGGTGCACTAGGAAAGATTGTTTGACTGGGGGTTGAGGCGGTCGCCCAACCATCTCATACAGAACTAGCCCTGGAGCACCTGGGTGGCTCAGTGGGTTGAGCATCCGACTCGTGATTTCAGCTCAGGTCATGATCCCAGGGTTGAGGGATCAAGCCCCACATTGGGCTCCATGCTGAGCACAGAGCTTGCTTAAGATTCTCCCTCTACCCTCCCCTCTACTTGTGCTTGCTCTCTCTCTCTCTCTCTCTTTCTCAAATTAAAAAAGAAAGACAGACAGACAGAAAGAGTCCTAACTAGTTGAACTGGGGTGGGTGGGGTGGGTGGGGTCTGACGCCTGTCAGAGTCTCTGCAAGTCTCTGCAAGCTGATGTGTCCCCCTTCCGGAGGTCGGTGGGATGAGAAGCCGGCCCCCGTCAGTCCTCCTTTCCCTCCTGGGTCAAGGAAACCCCAGTGATCATCCAGTTTCAAATTGGGACCTGCTGTCTGGTTCTTCAGCACATAGAGTCCCTTTGACCCAACATGAAGCTAATTAAGCCTCAAGGTCGAGACGCTGTCCCTTCGCCTATTCATCCTGTGTGGTCACCCCCCCCCCCAACTAAATGGCCAGGATGCCTTTTGTGGGAGTTCGAAGTGAAGGAAACAGGTGACCCCCGTCCCTGGAGGTTTACCTGCCCCACAGGTGTTCTGGGAATTTGTCAAGCAGGAGAGTAGCATGTCATCCCTCCTCACCCCACCCCTGACCTCTTCCCCGTGGGTCCTGGAAGTTGTAGCAGGCAGGACACGCAGAGGTCATCGCTCCAACCCCTAGATGTTCCGTATGCTTTGTTTCCTATGTACACTTCTGCTGGGAGAATTGCCTTCGCATAGACTCAGGATCTTAATGGTTTTCCAAAATATTAGATTTTAAAGTTACCTAAATACAAATCTGTGGTTATAGTGTAATATCATGGTATTACATGATATTTTTCTATATTTCTTATTTTTCTATAGTTGGATTGGTTGAACTTTTCCTTCATGATTCCTCCTATTGCTTTGGACCCAGGGCAGTCTTCATCTGTCTTTATTTATTTGATTATCTTATTTTTTAGAAGTTTATTTGTTTAGAGGAGCCTGGGTGGTTCAGTCGGTTAAGTAGCTAACTCTTGATCTTGGCTCAGGTCATGATCTCACGGGTTGTGGGTTTAGGTCCCGCACTGGGCTGAGCCTGCCTTGGATTCTCTCTCCCTCTCTCTCTCTCTGCCCCACCCCTGCTCATTCTCTCTCTTTC